GGGGGGGGGCAGTTGTTAAATGAAGAGGAGGGCGGTTGGAAAAAAAAAATTAAACAAAACAAAAAACAGAGTCACTAATTAGCAACCTGCCTTCTATTTATTTGTCTTCTTAAAGCACTCACCTGCTTTTCCATGCTCCGCCTTCACCTTCACCTTCACGCCGGGCTCCTCCCCCCAGGATCTGCCCCCTCTCCTCAGCTCGATGAAGGCCAGCCCAAGCTCGGCGTTGGCGATGTGCTGCTGCGCCCGGTTGGCAGGTGAGGGAGGCGTGGCATTGGCGTTCGGGGCTTGGTTTCGGGGGCGGCAGCCCCCCTGTTTGTGCTGGATGAACGCCAGGATGTGGGCGAGAGGGAAGGCCCGGCTGCACTGGCCACAGGTCAATAGGTCACGACCCTCGCCAGGAGCATGGACCTGCGGAGCAGGAGCAGGCCGGTCGTCTGAGCAAGTGGTGCCACTCGCCGTGTCAGTGACATCTGACAAACGTGACAGGCAGCAGAGGGAAGAGAGAAAGTTCAATTACCAACAGAGATTACACTATTTTTTACCTACTTTTAACATTTAACAGAGACACTGATTAACATGGACGGACACACAAGCACAATTCATTGCACAGGGATTTCAACACAGTTAGCCCTTAGTATTAAAAAATGTTTTTCAAAGTCGCAACCACAAGCGATTAGTCAATAGACAGAATATAAATTCAGTAAATTTTCAAGGAAATATTCACAGGTTCCAGCTTATAAATGTGAATATTATCTGGTTTTCTTAGTCTCCTACGACAGTAAAGTGAGTCGTCCTGTTGGTCAGACAAAACAAGACATTTGAAGACATCACCTTGGACTCGACAGGCATTTTTCTTTTACACTTCTGACATTTTATAAACCAAACACTTGATCAGGAAAATAATCTATAGATTCCTTGAAACTCTCCCATTTCATCCAGTATCTTTCACACTTGTCTTTCTGCAGCCGACGGGTGTAATCATCTTTCACATAGAGATAGTGGGCAGAGTCTATGAAACAGGTCCATAGCAGAGTGGTTTCTCTCAAGCATTTTAACTAGCAGCCAAAGAGAGTTATCACTTTTACACACATCACTTTACTAAACCTCGACATTAACGTCCAACTTTCTCTCCAAAAAAAAAAAAAAAAAGGCTGAACATACAGACAACACCAACATATTTTGACCCACAACAAAAGTCCCAGTTAATTTGGATGTCTTCTTTTGCGACCATGTGCTTATGAGCTGACAACCCAAAGTGGCAAAAGTGCTGTTAGACCTCAGTGGAACAGCACAGCAGGCGCGGTGATCGAAAGTGCAAGTTTCAGTTGTAAGCTCTGAATGCAACGAGGCCAATCTGCTCAGCCAATACTGACCACTTCCTTTAACCGACCCAAAACAGATCCGCGCTCTGACTGAGGCCGCCGCAGAGAGAGGAGCCCAACTGTCCACCTCAGCCTCAGATCAATGTGACGATCACTATGTGCTGACAAGTGAAGTTATTAATTTACAAAAAGAACCAAAGCTTTCAGTTTTTACTCACAATTACAACGTGCCCCATCTAACACAAGCAGCAGGAGTTTCTCAACAGGAAATAGATTGCAATAAAAAAAATAAAAAAAAGACTGAAGGTGTTTGAGATAAGAACAGCCCCTATGTTTTTTGTGTGCTCACAAATATGTACAGGACAGCTCATCTCATTCAACAACCTGTCAAACTGTACATGTGGTTAAGCAGGGAGCGCTTTGAAATGCTGCAGACAGGTGCAGACAGTGGACACAACTTCAACCGAACCTGTAAAGTGAACTTTGGCTGTTTGTTAAGAAAGGCTTCCAGCTCAGGCCAGGTAGGAGGAGGAGGGGTCAGTATTGCTCAATGCGGTCATGGGCACACCTTGATGCTGGATCACCTGCCCTGGCTAACACACAGGACAGGTACAGACAGTACAGTCTGGAGTTGTATCTCGCCAGTTGTTACTCAAAAATGTCACCTTTCCTGTTTCAGGGCTGCACTGTTTGTGCAGATTTGCAAGGCGCGGTCTCTCCACACTCGCGCACGCACTCAGAAAGAGAGAGAGACAGAGTTGAGTCAGGACCTGTGGTCACACCAGACACGCACCACTGGTCTCCAGTAGAGAACTGTAAAAAACAAATCGTGTTCAAGTTTCTGTCTTATTTCCCTCCGCACATCACATGGTCCTTTGTGAGCAGCGCTGTTGTCTTCATGTTTGAACAGCCTGGATGGGATCAAATGGAGAGTCTGAATGGGATCTATTCTACATTTTTATTCAGAACATTATGCAATTGGTCAACTATAAAAATATATATATTAAAAAAAAAAAAAAAGCAGGTTGGAGCCAGTCCCTAAAACAGACGATGGGTTAAAACTGCCCCAGACAAGCCAGAAACCGACAGAGAAACTTGATCATGGTCGAACCTGGAAATATTAATTATCGTGTTCGGACCTGTAGCCTCTGAAAACAGCGGGCCAATAAAACCGGTCCTTCCTCTATGAGCACGACTGCAACAACAGTACACACAACCATTGCAGGAACATGAGCCCTTCTTTAAAAAAAAAAAAAAAAAAAATATTTTTATATATATATATATATACACACACACACACACACACACACACAC